GGCCCGTACAGCACGAAAACCATTGTGATCACATAGACAATGTCCCTAGAAATAATTCATCATAGGTATTGTGATCGCTAGATATATTCCCCAGAAATATTTCATTTTAAAATTTTAATCCTGAAATATTTTATAAGACAAACATAGAATTACTTCATCACAAAAAAAATTGCTTATTTCTTATGAAATTATGATACCCTGAAATATTTTTCATCGAAAAATGCCGTGCTTCAAAACACTGAATTAGTTTCAATAATCATTACAACTTCTTTTTATGTACACAAGATACCCTAACAGTTTTAACAAATACAAAAACCGAAACCTCAGTATTATGACGTTTTGTAAGCATGATGGTTTCATGAAATCCTGTATATTCTAACTGCAAAACCAATGCAACTCTTCACAGAACTGATCCTCATATTCTCTGATCTATTGACTGCTTTAAAGTTTCTTGAAATATTTTTTAAATAATATGTTTGAGTGAATTTCGTAGTCACATAAACCAAATATCGGGCTTTCGAAGAGTGAAAATAAACACTGAGGAATGAAAAACGTAGTGAGTTGGGTTTTGAAGATTGAAAATAAACACTGAAGAATGAAAAACGTAGTGAGTTGGGTTTCAAAGAGTGAAAATAAACACTGAAGAATGAAAACGGTAACTAGTTGGGTTTCGAAGAGTGAAAATGAAAACGGTAACTAGTTGGGTTTCGAAGAGTGAAAATGAAAACTGAAGAATGAAAACGGTAACTAGTTGGGTTTCGAAGAGTGAAAATGAAAACTGGAGAATGAAAACGGTTACTAGTTGGGTTTCGAAGAGTGAAAATAAACACTGAAGAATGAAAAAGGTAACGTGTTTCTACAATCTAAAAATCATAAGCGCATTTGTGGTGTTTTTCAAGCATGCTATTTTTCCCTATAGTTTCTTGAAAAAAAAAGATACTTATAAATTCTATTTAAAGAAATATCATATATTTCTAAATAAAACTCGGCAATTCCTTTCTTTTCATGGCTATCTTCAATGTATATTGCACAATTAATCCAAGTAAATTCTGATTCTTCGGAAACGATAGTCTGCTACGATACAAAATTCAAACCAAAAACACATAGAGTTCTTGAAGCCTTAGAGTTAAACGTCTAAAATAATATCATTAGAGATCTATCCTGACGGCCTGCTCAACGTTGAAAGATCCGCGAAACTCTCCTAAGATTCTCAAGCTTCCGGAGTATACTTGGCCTTATAAGCAATACACACAAAGCCAAATTTGTTCCCGGCCCGACGATGAGTGAGCAGTCTGTGTGCTTATAGTATGTCACTTGCAAAGGGTGTGGCCGCCCCTACCTGTTATCTGATTCGCTGACAAGCTGTTTCTCTAACTATGTAGCAACTTATCTTTCTCACAAGAGAACACGGATAATATTACGAACACACTCATAGCGTGCAATTGTTAAAAGAAAGTTAAGTAAATTACTTAAGCACTCACTGCTTACACACGGAGAAATGTGAAACAAATTTACACATTAAGTAAACTAGCAGAATTCACATAGTTTGATCCCGTACTACACATTTACTCCCCTCCCCTCCTTTCTTCCAGGCTGACCCGTCCCTCTATAGTTCTTAAGCTACAGAAAACAAAAAACAAAAAAAACAGACCAAGTTTAATTGCGTGGCGCTTAAAAATCGAAATAACCCACTCTCACCCCACTTTCACCCCAGTAAAACAACTTTTCTGACAGCACATACGTGTATTAAACAAAACACAGCACTACAAAACAAGTCACGATTTACAACTCAACTAACCCCTCTAGGGAGATTACTTTATCATACTACACTCGCTAGATACAATATACATGAAAGTACCCTCTAACAAGACAAACATTTAAAACAAACGCATTAACAACGATTCACGTTACAAAATATACCTTTAACATAGAAACTTTAAGAAGGAGCAGTCAGCAATGGCATCTTTACTTTTAAAACACACGAAACAAAAGAAAATGTCAACCCTGATGACTAGAACTCACATTCACAACACATTAAGCATACATATAAACAAAATTCACTACATCCTCTTTAATGTTGTCTTTCATGAATTTTAATTGACGCCTGCTTATATGATGTATGATGTAAGTCTTGAAGTACTAAATATACTTGGAATAAGCCTGTATGGAATACAGTTTTCGTGTTTATTACGTGTAGAAAACATTTATGTACTTCTCGTGTAATGCCTTTTATGTATATTCAAATTATTGACCCAGTTTTGCAATTCCACACAGCCAGATGTGTTGCTTGATTGTCCCAAAACATTTTTTAACATCCTCTGTCACAACACAGTTACTACAAGCCAGACAATGATATCGGCAGTTTCAGAATGTTCAACATGATGCCACATTTGATCAGACGGACAGATCATAGGTACTTTGTTTTATCTGTAATTCCCTGTAAGTAATGTGTTCGTGTATTAACTAGAAGTGAAATATATTTCCTAACATCTTGCGAATGCTTAATCTGTTGGTACCCTTTACCTTCCTGCTTCAAGAGTGAACATGTTTTCATGATATTTTAGTGGCAAATACAGTCAAACAAACGTCTGCAAGATTCAGTAAGAACTTATATGGCGGTATAACGAAAATGCTAAGATAAACATACACTAGGCTCACTTGCGTTTGTTTTGTATAAGTATGATTTTATATGCGCATATCTTACAAAAGGGTGATCTATACCCACATATCCTATGAACTTATGAAGTGCCACAATACGATATATAAGTGCATATTAACCGAATTTCGACGTCAGTTCTTTCAGAGCTACAGATTGAATCAACAAAAAATGTTGAAATTTAAACATATACACACACATATATAATTGTATAGATGTTCAATAATACGCCAAATATATCACATTAGACTGTAAATTAACATGAATGGATAACACCATCATTGAATTTCTTTTTTCTTGTTGTTAAGCCCAAAGATACACAATAGGCTGTCTGTGCTCTGTGTTCTGCTCACCAATGGTATCGAAACTTAGTTTTTAGCATTATAAGCCCTCAGACTTGCTGCTAAGCCACCGAAAGCAAATAAAAAGTGACAACACAAAAATCAGAGTTGTTAGAAGTTATGAATAAAAACATAACTTACCCAGAGTAGGATCATAGTCTCCGATAAACCTTCTGGTGATGAAGCGAACAGTTAGAGCTGTAATGTCAAGAAGATTATTTAAAAAACTAACAGATTACATTAGTTCTATATTTCCAATCCGATGTTTTTGCTTAGTGTTTGACAGTGCTATAAATAATAATTCCAGAAATGACTTAAATCAACTTTTTTGAAGCTATTTGACTATTTATACCCTCATTCTTTAGAAAACAAAAATATTAGCGAGCCCAGATTTTCACAGAAGCTATCTGTGACAACTAAACTTGCACTGACTTACGGAGGAGAAAGCAGAATGTACATAAAACTACTTTACTTGGATCAGAAGTACATATAACCGTTACAATTGTTGCGCATATGAAATGACTTCCAATTACTTATTTACAGAAATGTTGTCTTTTGATGTTAAAAATTAATCTGAAAAAGTTGTCCCAGGTTTTACATTATTGATGTGTCAGGTTTCACTTTATAAATGTTTAAGGTTTTATTTTATATTTGTCTCATGCTTCATTTTATAGGTGTTTCATGTTTCACTTTATAGATGTTTCTGGTTTTGCATTATAGATGTGTCAGGTTTTACTGCATAAATGTCTCAGATTTTACTTTATAGGCGTCTCAGGTTTTACCTTATAGGAGACCTAGATCTCACGTTACAAGTGTTTCACTTTATGTTATTGAGGACGGAATTTTGCAAGACTCATGACGTATAGTAATTTCTTACAATTCGCAGGATCTTTCTGTTGTCCTGTTTATATATTCGATTTTAAGCTAGGTTCTTTTTTTTTTAAAGTGACGAACTGAGACCAAGAAGGGCTATAACTTGGTGATTATTATATATATATATATATATATATATGTGTGTGTGTGTGTTTTAGCTCAGTGTTTACCAACTGCTGGCGATCAATATCATCTAATGAAGAAAAAGTATTGTTACAGTTGAGTTAGGAATAGGTGAAAAGTTTTGTTATTTTCTTAGTTTACTGTTAAATAAATGAGTCTTATGGCTTTAACTTCAAAGCTGCTTGAAAAAGCCAAGTTAAGAAACAATACCAATACCATAAATCTCTATTCTTCTAACTGTCCGTAAAGAGCACACACAAAAATTGTCGGTAAGTAGAGTTATCACGTTTTGCATACAACAATATTCGTTTTTTTCACTTTATTGGTAAACTCACTGTTGAAGTTTGAAGGCTTGCATGAGAAACAAAAAAGAAATATTTGAATTAGTGCTCTTTACTAGCGCTAGATACTATATTTCTATACGTTCCTAACCAATAGTGGTAAACAAGTTTCACTTTGTCACTTTCTTTGTCCGTTCTTTGTTTTTTGAAGGGTTGCCAATGTGGAATGGTGAGTATCCTAGCCTAGGATAATAGATTGAGGGACAAATTCACAAAGTTTTTTTTTAATATTTGATTTAAGAGAATTGATGGAAAAAAACACCCATTAATTCTAAAAACTTGGGAGGAAACAGCGGGCTAAGATAACTTATATGTTCATGATGTTAGAAAAACACGTAGGTTCAAGAAGTCTTGATAAAAATTAATAAAAACCCTATAACCCGAGCTCTTTCGAAAGGTGGACCTTTCTTCTTCAGGGCCCGGCATGGCCAGGTGGTTAGGGCGCTCGACTCGCAATTTGAGGGTCGCGGGTTCGAATCCCCATCACCAAACATGCTCGCCCTTTCAGCCGTGGGGGCGTTCTAATGTGACGGTCAATCCCACTATTCGTTGGTAAAAGAGTAGCCCAAGAGTTGGCGGTGGGTGATGATGACTAGCTGCCTTCCCTCTAGTCTTGCACTGCTAAATAAGGGACGGCTAGCACAGATAGCCCTCGTATAGCTTTGCTCAAAATTCAAAACAAACAAGCAAACAAATTCTTCTTCAGGGGCAAACTAATAATCCCAGTTTGCCCCTGAAGAAGAAAGGTCCACCTTTCGAAAGCGCTCGGGTTATAGGTTTTTTATTCATAACTTATATGTTGGTGTTCAAAAGATGTAATCAAATTAAGGCACTGTTATCAAACTGGGAATTATTTTTTTCTAAAAGTTCAATTAATAATTCATGAAGATAT